ATATTTTGAAATTTCTGAATTTAATTGAACAACAATTTTTTTGCTATTGCATTACTTTGTGAATGGTACTTATATACGTGGTAGAGCCATGCTGCAGCTATATTAGTAGTATAGTTGTAGCACGAATGGGTCGGCTCGACCGGGGAAGGACCACGCTTTCACAGAATATCAGCGTAAAATAGCAGCTTAACAGTGCTGTGTTTCGTATGGTGAGTGTAGAGAACCGGAGACCCTTTTTACTGGAAAAGAGGCATTCCATCTTAGTCCTCACGAGTGACAACGCATCTACATTTTGATTCGCAAACGAGGATAAATGTAGATGTCTATGGGCCACAGCAACCACTTACCATCAGGTGGACTGTGTGCTCGTTTGTCACCCTAACCTATAAAAAAAAACTTACTAATTCTTAAACGTACACAGAAATTACATTTAACATACATACATACATACATAAACACTCACGCCTGTCACCCAGAGGGGTAGGCAGAGACTACGGACTTCCATTTGGCGCGATCCTGACACACCTCTCTCGCCTCTTTTACATCCATATATCTACGCATACACGCTCGTCGGTTAAGGGTACTCCTAATCTGGCCCATTTTTAATGTATCGCCGATTTGGTCGATAAACCTTCGTCAAGGGCATCCCTTCCCAACCCTGTCGTTCACTTCTGCAACATAAATTTGCTTTGTCACTCTTTTGAAAGAGTGACAAATTACATTTAACACGACATATTTTTTTCCTATTCCTCTTTTTATTCATCATCGGCCCTTAAAATATCGAGCCGTGGTAGCTCAGGGGCTAAACGTTCGCTGTAAATTTCACAGTACGCGAGAATCCCCGGTTCGAACCCCGCCGGCTCGGCGTGCTTGGCGGTGAAGGAAGACATCGTGAGAAAACCTACATGTCTGAGAAATAAGAAAAAATATTCCGCTCGAAAACATATGAAGTTCGCCAACACGCATTGGGACAGCGCTGCCGATATTTCCTTGCCCTAAAACCCTCTCAGATATAAGAGGAGGCCTGTGTCCAGCAGTGGAACGTATATAGATTGTAACTTTAATAGCCTGTAAACGTTCACTGCAAGGCATACGCCTCTCCCATTGAAGGCTGATCCCATTGAGGGTATCCCAATGAATTGTCACGGTTGGCAGACAGATTTTACGTGATAGGGCCATGCTGCAGCTATATTAGTGGCATAGTTGTAGCACGAATGGGTCGGCTCGACCGGCGAAAGACCACGCTCTCACAGAATACCAGCGTAAAATAGCAGCTTAATGCCCCTGTGTTTCGTATGGTGAGTGTAGAGAACCAAAGACCCTTTTTACTGGGTACAAGGCATTCTATCTTACTTCCTCACAGCTGACAACGCATCTGTATTTTAATTCGCAAATGAAGTTAGATGTAGATGTCTATGGACCACAGCAACCACTTTTCATCAGGTGGTCTGTGTGCTCGTTTGTCACCCTTATTCTATAAAAAAACAGATTGTCGAGCGTAAATACAATAAGTTTCGTCTCGTTGCTGCCCGTAGGCGGTCTGGATATTTTTTCTGAACTTTTACGTATACCGACATAGTTATTCCGCCGTATATCGCAAAGCCATTAGATTTTTCTCCTGTTTCCCATAGCTCCTTACTACATCCCCGGGATAACGGGGTGATTGATTAATTTATGCCGCCACTGAACAGCAAACGAATTATCGTTCCCTCCTTATCATTGAAGTTTGCAATGCAAGGAGTTCTTTTTTATATTTTCTTTGTGCATACTACGTTACTTAGTTTTATTTTATATGTGATATTGAACGGAGAAGGCACCCTAACTAAGATACTAACCAAGATTCTATGCAAACGAAGTCACGGGCACAGCTAGTATTATATATAATCAATAATTAATATTTTAATAAAAAGTAAAACAGTCTTCAAAAACTAAAAAACTAAACTCAACGTCATGGAAATTTGTGGATTAATTGAAATACCACGTAATGTACTTTAGTCACTTAATTTTATTAACATTTAAATATATTAAGTTAATAAATCACTTAATTTTGTTAAAAGTTTAATTAAATTAAGTGACTAAAGTACATTACGTGGGTTTTCAATGAATCTCCAATTTACTATCCATAGGACGAGTATTTACAAATGGTAAAACTAAAAATTTTGTACAACCGACTGCTATATAACTTATTAAGGATAACTCAAAAACTACTGGTCAGACCTTGATCTTTATATGGGACAACATGAGAAGCACGAGCTTCCAAATAAAAAAATAATCAAATCGGTTATCCCAGAAAAAAGTTATGAGGTAACACACATATAAAAAGACATACAGTCGAATTGAGTACTTCCTTTTTGAAATCGGTAGAAAATATCACTACTAAATCATTATTTTAGAGAGAAAACTAACTCGTTTATAACACTGCGTTTTATTACTAAACAGTATAAGCAATCAAAAATATTTTAAACGAGGCCACACCACAAGGCTATCACAGAGTAAAAAATAAAAATTAACAGTTGAAAATATAAGAACGTTAAAATAGTGTTAGGCTCATACCATGGTTACGCTTGCCGAAATAAAAAAAATATATGTTACGTTTTTTTATAGGATAGGGTGACAAACGAGCGCACAGTCCACCTGATGGTAAGTAGTTGCTGTGACCAATACACATCTATCCTCAATAAAGAATCAACTGGACTGGAGGACTAAGATGAAACGCCTCTTTTCCAGTAAAAAGGGGTCTCCGGTTCTCTACACTCACCATACGAAACAGAGCAGTGTTAAGCTGCTATTTTACGCTGGTATTTTGTGAGAGCGTGGTCCTTCCCCGGTCGAACCGACCCATTCATGCTACAACTATACTACTAATATAGCTGCTGCATAGCTCTACCACGTTGGCGGCTTCGTGGCTTAGCAATGAGTCACAATTCTAAGGGCCGCGGGTTCGAATCCCGCACGGGACAAGTAGTTGTATGGCCTACAAATAATTGTTCCGGTTCTGGATGTTTGTCCTTGTGAAATTTATGTCTTTAAACTGTCCCCACTATACAGAAGAAAATCCTAATGTGGAGGTAACGTTTTACAAATATGTATATATAAGGAGGTAGTAAGGTAGGTAGATATTATGACTCGTATCGAAACTCTACTACTCTACTCCGTGACGCAGTGGCTTATCAATGAGTTGCGGAGCTGAAAACCGCGGATTCGAATCCCGCACCTAACAAGTATATGATGTTACGGGTCTTGATGTATCCTTGTGCAATGTATGTACGTAAACTGCTTCAAAGATACAGGAGAAAGTCCTAGTGTGAGGATATTTAAAAAAAAATAAAGTTTCAAATGACACCAAAGTAGGTTAACGCTGTTAAGATTATCTTTACTTTATAAAACTGAAGCGACAAACGGACTTTATGATCCTCGATATTAAGTTCACAGCTGGGTTTGGGCCTTTACTGTTACAGGGAAGATTTTTTTCTATAGAATAAGAGTGACAAACGAGCTCACAGTCCACCAAATGGTAATTAGATACTGTGGCCCATAGACATCTACATATTCTTGATTAAGAATCAAAATGCCGAAAGCGTCGTTGTGAGACCTAATATGGAATGCCTTTTTTCCATTCAAAAGGGTTTTAGTTTTTTTTCAGATTTATTAACCAAATTTTTCAAAAAGGCTACTTCGAAGCACGATATTTCGATAATCGAGCTAAATTGCGATAAGTGGTTTATGAAACGTCATAATTATTCCTGACAAGACTACTAAAAAGCGACTCGATATAAAAAATTGAAAACAAAAAATTATGAAATGTTTAGAAATAACAATAATTATATATTTTTATTATCTTTTAGTACCTGATATCAAAAGAATACATTCATAATAATTTATCGGATTGGTCAAAAATTCTAACAGTTATTTAGAATATAATAAAATAGAATCATTTCTATTCAATAAAGATTTTATACGTGGTAGAGCCATGCTGCAGCTATATTAGTAGTATAGTTGTATCACGAATGGGTCGGCTCGACCGGGGAAGGACCACGCTCTCACAGATTACCAGCGTAAAATGGCAGCTAGACATTGCTGTGTTTCGTATGTTGAGTGTAGAGAACCGGAGACACATTTTACTGAAAAAAGGCATTCCATCTTAGTCCTCACGGGTGACGCCGCATCTGCATTTTGATTCTTTATTGAGGATAAATGTAAATTTCTATGGGTCACAGCAACCACTTACCATCAGGTGGACTGTGTGTTCGTTTGTCACCCTATCCTAAAATAGAATACCAGAATACTTATTGAAAGTCACTTAAGCTTTACCACCATGATGCACTAAAATAAAAAATATACCTAAGTATATTTTTATTACTATTGGGTACTTAAAGTGTTCTCATCTCGTTGGGCTGTATTGAACTATATATGAAATATATAAATGGAAATGATAAATATACATAAATATACACATACTAATATAGTGAAATAAATACATAAACTATACGTAAATAAATAAAATGCCAACCAGATAACCTATTATTATAATTTATTATTATTTGCGTCTCCTACTACAACGTTGTATCCAAACTCCCGTTTTAATACAGAATAGAATATTTTTATTACATAAAGATTACAAGTAGTGAATGAAAACGAGCAATAAACCCAGTGAACTTTTTTCAATCTAACAAAATTATCAAAAAAATAATTCAAGAAATTACTGCTCCGTTGAGATGATAATTTAAGATTGTATGACATGAGAAATTAACTACAACAAAAAATACACAAAAGAACATAATTTTTTAAAATTTTCGTACTATGCAAAAAATCTAAGCTTGTTGCTATAAGGAAGAAACTAGTCAATTATATTCAATTAGAAGAAATAGTTGAACAAGTCATACCTAATAAATTTCCAATTATTTGCCACAGATAAAATATACTTGATGAAACTGTGAGCGATAATATTACGACCTTCGTACATTAATTCTGGTAATAACGATCGAAATTTAAAAACTCACCGATATTCACATGCACAAACCAAATCACACAAGCACAAAACAATCACTGGCACACAACTTTTAAATTAATTAAAAACAAAACAAAAACTCGGAACAAAAAAAATAACACGTCCTCCACTAGTGAAGGCAACGTTGAAACTGCTTCGGAGAATCACACCAGGCAGCACGCAGTTGAGGCAGTCGGTAATTCACAGTGGATATATCGTGTAGACGATAATAGCTTTTAATCACATAACATACGATACGAAATTACTCGATTGACGTTTAGCTGCTCAGTTAAAAAGCTGTACTTGCGGAACGTAAAGCTGGCATCTTTAATTTGCGAATCAGTATTTAATTAAATACAAGAAATAATTATTTTCCTGCTGCTTCAGGGTTGTAATTCCTTAAGGGGATAAGATTTAAAATCAAAATGTTATTGTTGGATATGTGTAAGCAAAATCCAAATCTAAAACATCATCAGGTCGTGAGCAGTGCAGCTAGACAGAAGTTTCTCCCAAGTTAAGATTATTTGCCAATAGATTTTCCTACACCACATTAATTAATTAATTTCAGTCCATCAAAAATCCATAGCTGAACATAGGCTCTCCTCGTAGATTGCCTCATAAGATGATTTTGATAGTTGCCACGCTCGGTATCAGGGAGTGGATGCTGCCCATCTCCTGTCAGTTTCCCTCTATCACCTCTTAAACCGGCTATACATGTTGGCCGAGCGAAGGCCAGTCCCGACATATGGACAGTACATTTCGTCGTTGACGCCGCAAAGGAGCGAACCTCAATTTTTCAAAAAATTACAGGAGGACAAGAAACCAATCTTATTTCTAGTTTTCCATTAAATGTAATGTATTTAATTTTCTGATGAAAAAGCTAATAATCGGAGAATAATAAATGTTTTCTTGCTCTCCTGTAATTTTTTGAAAAATTGATGTTCGCCCCTTTGCGGCATTAGCAACGATTTGCTAGCCTCGCCATTTCTCGTCGTCGCTCGCCTAGCTGGCCGAGCGCAGGCGATAGCCAACATGTATACGGTTCCTTTGTTACGCCTTGCCACCACTCGCTCAATCGGGGATCGCTCGCCACGATTCGTCTCACTTCGGAACAGTGTCGGTTTTTCTGCACAAATCAAAGCCGCTCGCCAGTACTCGGCAATGCGTTTTCACGTGTTTGTTGATCATATCAGTATGTCCACTCATTCAAACTTAGCCAACATGTAGACTGGAGCACTCGTCTTGTATCAATTTGCCTACGCTCGTTCGCTGAGGCTTGGGCAACATGTATTGCCGGCTTTACGACACACACGAGACGATATGGGCTAATGAATTCTCTAAAGCCGCCACTTAACGGCGAACGCTCTTACATTACACAGCATTCCTTTACGCAAATTATGCAAACAATTATGGCAACATAACGTATGGATTATCCGTGGCTGAACATAGACCTTTTACAGTTTTTTTTATAACAGGCTTTACGGCTCTGGGTTCTAGCCCTTTTGAGCCTGAATTTACAATGTATAATTATCCTTCATAGTACACAGCTTCGCAATATATTGATGCGTTACATTGTGCAGCCCTTGGGAGATTTTGACGGCAACTTGAGCCAGCAGACAGCTGACAGTTGACGATGGTATCTCAAGGTGCCTAAGCAGACAAATACCTTATCTTGAGAATTACATCACCATCAGAACACTTGTTTCACCGTTTCCACTAATAGTTCACATGCGCAGACACTTAATACACAAAATCGCACCACTTTTCAAATCAAAGTCCACTTCAAACCATTATTTAAACAATAATACAGGATCAGCAAACCGCCGCGGACCAAGTTCCCGCCAAAACTCTCTACCTTTTACCGAGATTGCACAGACTCACAGAGCAGCCTGTGTTATTTGGATCGCATACAATGACGGCCAGATTTAACCACGAACAAATTACGTACTTTTTTCTGCAGTTTGTTGCGCGCTGTATCCAGATATTAGTCTCACCCATTTTTTTTTAAAACGAAACGTTACCTCCACACTAGGATTTTCTCCTGCATCGTGGTTTACATAAATAAATTTCACACGGACAAACATCCAGAATGAACAATTATTTACAGCCGCGGCTCTTAGCGCTGCAAATTTTTGGTAAGCCACTGCGCCACGAAGCCGTCACAATTGCGTAGAAGTAACATCTCCCATTACAGGTAAGTATTGTCATCAACAATGCGCCAGGCGAATTGTCGATCTCAGACGTGATATTTCTTTATTTTGAACCCTTATAACCTATTACCGGCACTTTTATCTATCCACAATTAAGAACAATGAAATGAAGGCGCATTTTCACACCTGAGGACTAAGATGGGATTACTCGTAAAGTGTGAAAAGTGTTTCCAGTTACAATCAGGATGAAAAACGCAAAACAGCAATATGCTGCTATTTTCTACCGACTTAAAAAAGGAGCCGGTATTCAATTCGACTGTAAGTTTTTTTATGTGTTTTTTCATCATAACTTTTAACTGGGTGAACCGATTTCGATGATTCTTTTTTTTATTTGAAAGCTGGTACTTCACATGTGGTCCCAAATGAATTTGATCAAGGTCATAGCAATAGTTTTTGAGTTATTCTTAATAATTTATATTGAAGTCGGCTGTACAAAATTTTTAATTTTTAATTATAAACTAAAATATTTAAGTATTTTACGTGGTTTGATTATGTTTGATTTTATTTACATAATAATAATTATATACTACTATTATTCGATCGAGGTCTTTGTCCTATCAAATCGACCCATTCGTACTGCAGCCTGCACTGTGTGTGCAGACTGCAACGTGCCTCTACCACGTATTAAACATATAATTAACCACGTGCTTTGTTACAGTAGCATCTGCTATTCATCTCATCATCATACATCTGGTGATTTTTAAAATATACATTGATTAAAAATTTAGATGTATATTACACTTTAGACACATGTACAGTGTAAAGAGGATGCAAAGGCGAAGGGCAAGAGAAAATGACTGTGGTGAGTTCAGTCAGTCTGTCATATCTGTTAACAACTACTGATTTATTGCTAGGTTGAATAATTACATTTAATTTTTAATCAATAAGAACAACTCAAAATAATAAACAACTGCGGTTACCTATTCACTTGCAAATCGTGGCAATTGTGGCGAAATTTTTCCCTATGGTAGTGGCCTATATTCAACAATGGAGTTTTGACAAACTGAAATGGATGATAATGGAACCCTGTACAATATTCAGCTTGTGGCTGTACAGCCAGTATTAAGGAAATCATAATGACCTGCGTAAATACACAATAATGACCTCAACGCAAGCCAACTGCTGACCCATGACTCAAGCGACTGTCTGTAAATATCTCTCCGTAAATATCGCGCAAACAAAGAAGAGAGATCACGATTTATCTTCTGTCCAACGTAACAGATATAAATAAGTTTAAAAAAAATAACAATAAAGCCCTGTAGTGATCTGACTAATAGCGTACGTGAGGGTAATATGGACATGCGGTTAATATGGTCACTTTCTTGTAACTCAAACACTACAGCCTTATTCGCATAGGTGGCTCTGTGGTACGATAGCTCTTCATCAGTCAATCAAATAATAAAAGGTCAAAAGGACGCCACTTTATCGACGTTATTTTGACACTTGACACTTATACTATAAAAAAAATAAGTCGGAACACGGGGCGGCATAGTTAGATGAACTACGGAATATAAAAACTACATACGGAAGTATGATAACTTGAACGCGTCATTCGCTTTACCATAAGTGAAAAGTTTATCGGAACCACTTAACCCTGTTGACGATAAAGCATTTTAAATAAACAAGCAGTAACACATAGATGTCCACTATAGTACCATCAATGACGGCACCGTGGTACAGTGACTTAGCAAAGAGTTTTTTTTTATAGGATTGGGTGACAAACGAGCGCACAGTCCACCTGATGGTAAGTGAATGCTGTGGCCCATAGACATCTACAACTATTCTCGATTACGAATCAAAATGCAGATGCGTTGTCACCCGTGAGGACTAAGATGGAATGCCTCTTTACCAGTAAAAAGGATCTCCGGTTCTCTACACTCACCATACGAAACACAGCAGTGTTAAGTTGCTATTTTACGCTGGTATTCTGTGAGAGCGTGGCCCTTCCCCTGTCGAGCCAACCCATTCGTGCTACAACTATCACTCGTGCCATTCGTGCTACAACTAACTTAGTTCCATAAAACAGGTAAAAATTATTGATTATTTTCTGCGACTCTATTGATAAGCACATACATAAGAAAATGCGGTAAATATGGTCGACTAATACCTCGTTTAGAAACAGTATACCGGCTTTGTTAATCTGCCATCAAGAAAATACTAATTGCTATAATTTGCACATAGCAGCGTGCACAGACGCTCGATATTAGATAAGCAACGGACATTGTACTTCGATAAGCAATACCTACTGACGTATGTTTTTTTTTTCAATGTCATTTACTTCATTCTCCAAAATCTAGTGGTTAAAGGTAACAATTAATATACGTCCTATTATTGGACGTAGGTGTTCTCTCGTTACTTAGGCACTTGGAGCAGGAAAAATCCACCGCGTAACCCTAATGGGTGTTGGCGGTCTATACGTGTCCTCGATTTATTTTAATCAGATTACAATGTGGGTGTCTTCAAGGTAAGAGCGAATAGGTTTTTGTTAAACTAAGTCAGAGCGCTTCACCATCTTCGACTGCATCACTTGCCATCAGGTAGGATTGTAGTCAAGAAATGGTTTAAAATAGTTTTAAAAAATCTCAAACAAGTAACTTGAGTAACTAAAGATGAGTGCCCGGCCTCATGGCTACCATAAATTAAAAAGGCAACATGCATGAGTGTTCGCGCAAAACACTTTCAAGGATTGACGCGAGAGGGCGCTCGGCGCGGTGCATTCATACCGGTTTGACTTTCGGTCGTGCGAAAAACGCCCAAGGGCAGTCAGTCATCCTCGGGCAGTGCTCACGATTGGCACGCTGCCAATTAAGCGCGGGAACTCGGAATAATTAAGCGCGGACAGTAAAAATACGGTCTAGGAATTTTGTGGCACGTATCCCTACTGGAGAGCTTCCCCGGGACTTATTGGGTCCGACTCAGAATCTGTATAAGTGCATTCGACAA